CCTTTGTCACATGCTTGAGTAAAGCAATAGTCAAAACCTTGGGAATTGCCTTGAACACCATTCGATGATAGTGTGCTCGGAATAATCCTTTCAATGCTTGATTGCTGCGCTCAATAGTTGGTTCGTGTTTGCCCGGCGCGGCATAATTCATGGTCACATCCAAATTATCTTTCACGTCATCAAATACCGGTTTGAATTCGTTGTCGCAATAAATAGTTTTGATTCGAAATTCCGCATGATTATAAATGCGTAAAATTTCGTCAATCGACTTGTAAATAGCATCCTTCGTCCGATCTTTCAGTTCAGTACTGAATCGGAATTTGATCGCTTTGTCAATACTGACAAAAACGCGACATTGTTGATAAACATAATGTCGATACATAAATCCAGGTTCGAATTGTGTTTCAGGAGTTCCTTGGGCATTTCGATCCAATCATCAACCACCGCCTTCGGTGTTGGTCGCTTTTGTTTGCCCTTAATTGTTGAAACGCTCGGTCCATATATCTTTTCAGAGATATTAACATCTTCCTCCGTAATTGGACAATTTTTGAAAAAATTTCCCTGAATCGCCAACTTGAATAGTTCTGCACCAGGTGCTCCCATCATATGATAGCCACTTTAAAAGTTAATAACCTTTGTCACATGCTTGAGTAAAGCAATAGTCAAAACCTTGGGAATTGCCTTGAACACCATTCGATGATAGTGTGCTCGGAATAATCCTTTCAATGCTTGATTGCTGCGCTCAATAGTTGGTTCGTGTTTGCCCGGCGCGGCATAATTCATGGTCACATCCAAATTATCTTTCACGTCATCAAATACCGGTTTGAATTCGTTGTCGCAATAAATAGTTTTGATTCGAAATTCCGCATGATTATAAATGCGTAAAATTTCGTCAATCGACTTGTAAATAGCATCCTTCGTCCGATCTTTCAGTTCAGTACTGAATCGGAATTTGATCGCTTTGTCAATGCTGACAAAAAACGCGACATTGTTGATAAACATAATGTCGATACATAAATCCAGGTTCGAATTGTGTTTCAGGAGTTCCTTGGGCATTTTGATCCAATCATCAACCACCGCCTTCGGTGTTGGTCGCTTTTGTTTGCCCTTAATTGTTGAAACGCTCGGTCCATATATCTTTTCAGAGATATTAACATCTTCCTCCGTAATTGGACAATTTTTGAAAAAATTTCCCTGAATCGCCAACTTGAATAGTTCTGCACCAGGTGCTCCCATCATATGATAGCCACTTTAAAAGTTAATAACCTTTGTCACATGCTTGAGTAAAGCAATAGTCAAAACCTTGGGAATTGCCTTGAACACCATTCGATGATAGTGTGCTCGGAATAATCCTTTCAATGCTTGATTGCTGCGCTCAATAGTTGGTTCGTGTTTGCCCGGCGCGGCATAATTCATGGTCACATCCAAATTATCTTTCACGTCATCAAATACCGGTTTGAATTCGTTGTCGCAATAAATAGTTTTGATTCGAAATTCCGCATGATTATAAATGCGTAAAATTTCGTCAATCGACTTGTAAATAGCATCCTTCGTCCAATCTTTCAGTTCAGTACTGAATCGGAATTTGATCGCTTTGTCAATACTGACAAAAAACGCGACATTGTTGATAAACATAATGTCGATACATAAATCCAGGTTGGAATTGTGTTTCAGGAGTTCCTTGGGCATTTCAATCCAATCATCAACCACCGCCTTTGATGTTGGCCGCTTTTGTTTGCCCTTAATTGTTGAAAAGCTCGGTCCATATATCTTTTCAGAGATATTAACATCTTCCTCCGTAATTGGACAATTTTTGAAAAAATTTCCCCCAATCGCCAACTTGAATAGTTCTGCACCAGGTGCTCCCATCATATGGTAGCCACTTTGTGCAACATTTGCCCGTTTCACTTGTTTGTTTGTGAAGCCCTCTTTGTTCTTCTCTACACTCTGTAGAGCACAGTACCCTTCCATATCATCATTTAAATTATTAGGTACTATGTGAATTTCATCTAGTTCCATTCCAGCAGGAACTTCATCAAATATAAATCCTCTTACATCTGTCCATTCATGAAAATCTTTTCGAATACCTCGGCGTTTTGCTTCTTGAATGAATGTACTGGGTAATCCACCAAAGCGAATTTATAAGTCATCAAAGTCCCATCTTCCGTCTTTAGCCAATTCATAACACCATTGAGCAAATTTTGTCCATTTCCATAAACCATGATATGTATCCATCGCTTCACCCATATTGATCCTATCACGCTGTAGGATGAATGCCATTCCTTTGCATCTTTCAATTTCAATATCAAAACGTGGGTCTACCCCAGCATTGGCAATTCCACGTGCATGATTATGGAACATTGCTGTTGCCACAGCAGGTTTGTCGACCAGAGTATATAATCCATTGTGATGTCCAAATCGCCATGTAGTCCCGTTTCTGGTGACAAAGAAACTGTTCTCTCTCTTTGTGTCCATTAATACATCAAATCCATCTTTTACCATATTCGACAAGCTGTTGACGTTATCGCTAGCTTGTGTGTCAAGCTTACAAACAGAGTCAAATACGTTATCGATTCCTTCTCAATAAAGTCTTCTTTCCTGTACATTAGAGGTATAATGAAATCCTCCATCAATTCCTTGCAGAGTTCCTTCTTTAAAGTCATGCTCACTTGTTTGCAAATGAAAAGTAGATCCACTGTCCAAGTGGATATCATGATAGTTGTTGAGTTGGAATAACATTATTCCTTGTGGTCTTGTATCATCATCCGTATGTCCTTGTTGAATAAGTTGTCCTCCATGGGATCCATTGTTGGAACGTCCATAGTTCCATTAAGTATTTGAATCTCCCAATTCATTATCACCACGTTGCATATTCTGTCGATTACCATGACCATTTGCGTCCAAATAATCCCTATATTCGTCCGGGCTCTTCCATTTTTCCCACGGCTTCAATTTGTCCCCAATTTGAGGTGCGACATGAGCTTTCGATCCGCACACAAAACACGCTTGAGTTTGTTGTTGCAAAAACTGAGCTCCGTCATTTTGATTGTTGTTTGACTTGTTCTGTTTCCCTTGTTGATTCGAATTTCCTCCATTCAAATTCTTCTTCCTATTATCGTGTTTGTGTTGATTCAAAACATCAGCAGCATTTTCCAAAGTAGTTGGAAATGTACAACGTTGTTTGAAATCCAGATGTTTCAATGTGCACTGCGCCGTCATTCCATCAATTCTTGATTGACACTTGGCTCTATTGGAATTATACAGAAATCCATTGGCCATGAATCTTTCCCATGATTCCTTTTTGTGTTGGGATCGTTAAGCATTGCTTCCCAATAAATCATATTCCTGACTCTTCTCAGTAAATTTGTCCAAAAATCATCACCAAGCAAAGCTTGCAATGCCTTCGCCCTTTCTTCAAATCGTTTACAAAAACTTGCAATGTTT